CCTGATGTGTGCAACCCACTCGACACGGGAAACCACCACCGCTGAAGCACCATAACGCCAACGCCAATGAAACCAGTATATGTTTGTGTGTGTGTGTGCACTTTTACTTTCTTAACAAGCGGGGCTGATTTACTGCAAGCAGATAGATAAATGTATACCTCATTTCTGCTTGCCTTCAGCAGAAATTATGTTTTTAATTTGCATTCTGCATTCTTTGGAACATTTGCAGTGCATTTTCAGCAGATAGACGCAAATGCCTACTACCAATCAGAACATGACACATACACAAGGCAGAGATACATGAGGGCAAGGGAAGCATGACACAAACAGCATGAAACAATTACAAAATAAAAGACATGAAAACATGAACATGAAATAAAAAACTCAAACACCAAACCCCACATTACACCTTAAGATCATCATAAAACAACATTTGGAGCCTGTTTTACTTCTGCAGTATGCCACCGTTTACTAATGTGACATATTGCAAAGATAAACTAAAAATATGGTTTCACTTAATTTTATGAATCAGGAATCACTGTAAGCACCTGTTTGTAATTTTTAATCATTATTGATGATGTCAGTGCTTATATAATATATATATCAAAGACTGTGAAGATATTTATTTACTTATGTGGATTCATGTTGATCGATTTCATGGTTTTGCTAATTTCAACGGTCAGTCATACAGCTTAGCAATCATTATACAAAAAAATATTTGTCCACAGCCATGAATCAAGCATTCCACAGAGGCAAATGTCATAAACAGGTGACTCTTTACCCAGCGGCACTGCAAGTTCACTTGTCTCTACTTTAGATCAAGTTTTTAATCATGAGATCTCAGCTGCAGGGGAGGTCTGGAGGGCATGAAGAAACAATTTGACACACCACAGAAAGTTTCTTGCTCTCTTTAAATTTTGCAATGTCAAGCTAGTTTTTCAGTTTTTTGCTTTTACTTGCAAGACTGTTTGGAGTAAATAGGAGAATGAGAAAGTTTTGATTTCATGGAGCATTTCTGCTCTCAGCATCCCCTCTAGAATTCACTCACGGCAAAGCTCTGAGTTCAGCAACCTCGCCATAGATCTCTACTCATTACCCACTCTCCACCTCTTCTGCCCTGCTCCCCACCTCTCCGTCTCCTGTCTGCCTCAAGCGCACCCTCTCCATCACTCATGCTGGTTTGATGCTTCCATGTCTTACATTTTTTGATATTGCACTTTTTCATGTCCTCTGCACTCCGCCTGTCTTTTCTCGTACTGCATTTTTTATTTGCCAGCCACTGAAACACACACACACTTTTTTTTTCCCTTTCCATAGTTTATGTCCAGAGGAGGAACTTTAAGCTGAAACTAAGTCTCAGGCCCCTCCATTACAGACAGCGAGCTATAAAATGTTATGAGACAACTTCTTTTTAAAATAGTATTCCATCTGAAAAACAAGTGAATCATGGAACAGTTATAATCTCTCGATGTTCTGTCAACTTCCTGCCTACATACCTGTAGCCTGTCATTAACGTCCACCGATGATCCGCACTCTCTAATTCTGTATGGATTGACTAAGAGTGTCCACGCAGTCTAAGGCTGATTACACAACCAATTCTATTGACTCAGAGTTAATAAAAGGAAGATACAATTATGTTTCCTTCTATGGATGTAACCAACATCGTGGGAAAATGCTTAACAAGATTTACAAGTATAAAGGACAATAAATCAGAAGGACAAAGTTTAACAAAATTATCTTGTTTATGACAGATAGGTTTCAACCAAAGGTAAAAACATTTGTTCCCTCCTTGGTGTTTGCTGGATGTTCTCAACTTGCTTCTCAATGTTCTAAGGACAAAGCCGGTTTAAAACATTTATATAATCTTTATATACATCAAGCATGCATTTAATTTATTTTATTTTTTTGCATAAATATTTGGACTTGTCATATCTTATTTCACATTTCTCAATCCTGGTCTTGGAGGATGCCCAACACTGCACATTTTGAATGTCAGCCGCACATATTTAGTTCATTCTAAATAGCTGATGAGTTGAGTCAGGTGTGTTTAATTGGGAAGACTGCAGTGTGAGGTCCTCCAAGATGAGGAAACACTGATCTAGAATACCAAGTGATCAACAATTTGGAAATTGTTTTAAGAAAAGCAATTTGTTCTATTACTATGATAACCATAGATGCATGGGTTCCCCCTAAAATACCACCCTGGTTAGAACTGTGAGGTGAGGATAGATTACGTAAATCGCGTTACTTGTAATGCATTACCCCCAACACTGGTTATTACACTTACTTCAACAGTACACAGCCACTGCCTGATGCGGGCGCTATCCAGAACACCTGTATTCTGGTCCTCCTGCGTGGGGTGCTTTCTGTCACTGCTGGAGGGCAGTTTGTCATAAACTGTGTGTCTTCCTCATCGATTATCTGCAGAGTGCACAAACCCATACCCGTCAATACAAATGTGTCCGATTCAAATATGGCAGCATTCTTGTTACCTTCTCTTCATGTAAGACAAAAAAAAATGAAAAATTATAAAACACACAACTTTGTAAAAAATACTACAGAAGATTATCATCCATTTGTATCTGCCAAAATGACTGTGCATGTATGTGTGTAGAGAGTTATCACCTGTAGTCTTAAGAGGTCAATGGCAATACCAACAATTCCCCTTCAGACATCCTCCACCCAATAACCCAAACAGCAATAACAAAGGTGATGGATTTGATTTGACATGACATGGAGATCCACACACGGAGGTCAATGCACTTCATCTACAGCAAAACCCTGTAGGTGCCAGCTCTTGCAGGGCATTGTTTTTAAAATATAAAGTACCTCACTTGAAATATTTAAACTCTTTATTGTGTCCGAGAAATGCACACAAGTATTGTTTTGTTCCTGAATGAATCCGATTTTTTATTATTTTTTGCAATGAATCAGTTAGGTAAATGATTCTACAGAGCCCCTAAAGGGACATAGTGGTCGGGAAAAAAAATAAAAAATACAGGATGGGAGGATTTTTTTTTTTTTGGCAAAACTTTGCATTCACTCACAAAACATTTGCATTCTCTGTCAAAGATCTCTTTTTGTGTTCTCTTGCAAACTTCTTTTTTTTTTTCAAGTTTGCTTTTTTTCTGTAAATGCTTAAAGGTATAGTTCACCCAAAAATGAAAATGTTGTCATTAGTTACTCATCCTCATGTTGTTGCAAATCCGTAAGACCTTCTTTCATCTTTGGAATACAATTTAAGACATTTTTGATGAAATCCTAGAGCTTTCTGACCCTGCATAGACAGCAAGGGAGCTACCACGTTCAAGATCCAGAAACGTAGTAAGGACACTATTAAATAGTCAATGTGACATGAATGGTTCAACCGTAATTTTATGAAGCTACGATAATTGTCACGTGTATGTTCCCGTTTAGTTCCTGTTGTCCTTATTTGGTCCTTCCAGTTCCTTTTCCCATTATTAGTATCACCTGTTCCTTGTTATTAGTTATCCCCATCACCTGTCTGCCCCTCGTTATTTGCCCTATTTAGTTCTAGCCCGTTCTGTTCTCCTTGTGCTACATGTGATTCCCTGAAAAAAATAATTAAACTCCTTTGTTTTGTACTCCTGGTCTCCTCGTTCCTCGCTCCATGCTCCTCACAGTAGCAACCCGTGACAGAATTCCAGATCAAACAAAAAGTGAGCGGCGACTTTTCCTCGCGTTTGTTTTTTTCCGCCTTTTTGAGAAGTTTTTTTTTGTTTTCCTTGTTTTCCCCGCGGCTATGGAAATTGCCGCTCCCTCCCAGACCCCACGGGACTGAGCTAGAGGGAAGGAATCCTCCGGTGTCTGGAGAGCGTCCTGCCCCGAGCCAGAACCAGCCCGCCGTCCGCAGCCTACTCTAGTTCACCGGCCGTTAATATGGCAAGCGCAACAAACATTAATATGGCAAGCCCGCCATGCGTTCATGAGGCCCCAGTGTCGGTTCCAGCCCCAGTGCCTGCTCCTCAAAAGCGCCTTCCAGAGCTCGCTCCAGTGTCAGCTCCAGCCCCAGAGCTCGCTCCAGTGTCGGCTCCAGCCCCAGAGCCCGCT